GTTGCTCGAATTCGAGCAATTGCAAAGTATTACAGGAGTTATTTCAAAACGAATAACAGTCATATTTACAATGAATTTAAAAGAGTCAACTCAAAGATTACCGGTGTGTAGCCTAACTCGGACCATGTTTATCTTAGTTATTAATAAACCTAAAGCATCCCGGCCGGTTTTCTCCTTCTCAAAATGCCTCGCTCTACAGGCAACACAGGTCATTGATAGAGGGCCAATTTTGAACGAAAAGTTGTTTTGGGGTAGTGTTAGGGCGCATTTTAACCTAATAGTTGAGCCTATTACGTGTCACTGTTCTGTAGCTGCGGTCGTTATCACGATTACACCTCCTGTCTATGTTTCATTGTCGTAGCGTCGGAGGCATTTAAAAGAAAAAAACAACAAATAAACAAATTATATCTACACAAAGCAGCGATAAATTCACAAATTTAAGTTACAATCATTCTAACACGATCTGTCATAGCGACACAAAACAGCGATAAATACACAAATTTAAGATACAACCATACTAACACGATCATTTTCGTTTTAGGGGTTATGTTTACACAAACTCAAATCTATATATATAAAAGGCAAAGCACTCACTGACTCACTGACTGACTCACTCACTCATCACTAATTCTCTTACTTCCCATTTACCTAGGAAGCTGAAATTTGGTACACTGATTCTTTAGGCATTAAATAGGAAAACTAAGTAGTTTTTATTCTGATCGGACTCTCGGGCTCCGCCCCAGTGGCTCTGGAGTTTCCCATGTTAACCTTATGAGTACTCATATTTAAATGGAATTAATGAATCTTAACAGCTGTTTCAATTAAACAAGTTGGTTCTGTTCTATGATGTTCAATAGCATTAAAGGTACAAGGATTACCAACAGGGTGCAGCACTAATATTGTTTTAAATTTATGACAACAGCTAATTTGCAACCCAAAGGTGAGTGAGCGTAGCGAACGAGCTAACCTGAAGGCAAGTGAACGCAGCGAACGAGCTCCAACGTAAAGGTGAGTGAGCGTAGCGAACGAACTTCAACCAGGGCGTGCGAACGAGCTCACTTATGAAGTTAAACGGGGCAAAGCCCGAGGGTACAGCTAGTAGTAAATAAAGGTACTCAATGCGTTTCATTTAATTGAAAAATAAATAACAGCAATTAAATTATACAGCTGATCAAAATGTAAACAATTATGTTCTTCATAAGGATAACATGGGAACTTTCAAAGCCACTGGGGCAGAACCCAAGGGACTTTGTCAAAAATGTAAGGCCTGTTTGCAAATCTACGCGATTCTTTAGGCATTAAATAGGAAAACTAAGTGGTTTTTATTCTGATCGGACTCTCGGGCTCCGCCCCAGTGGCTCTGGAGTTTCCCATGTTAACCTAATGAGTACTCATATTTAAATGGAATTAATGAATCATAACAGCTGTTTCAATTAAACAAGTTGGTTCTGTTCTATGATGTTCAATAGCATTAAAGTTACAAGGATTACCAACAGAGTGCAGCACTATTATTTTTTTAAATATTTGACAACAGCTAATTTGAAAACAAAAGGTGAGTGATAACCCGGAGCACTGAGCTATAATTCTAACTGGAGGTAGCACTGAATGTCAAAGATGCGTGTCGCCAGCCGCCATGTTTGCGTGAGGTGGGTGTCCATAAGAAGCCATGTTATTGCTATGACAAAAAAACTCACTGCTATACAACCAGAATCAGAATCAGAATATTTATTGCCGTTGATCAAATACATTGAGATAGGCATTGTCAAATTAGGCTAAATATTTACATTGGTCGATTTATCTAAATATTTACAACCTAGTTATAAGAAGCCATGTTATTGCTATGGTAAGAAAACTTACTGCTATACCAACCTAACAAAATCAGCGACTCGCTTTTGACAGACTTCTGCCATGGCAGTGCTACCTCCAGTTATAATTTTAGCTCAGTGACCCGGAGGCGAGGTAGTGTAGCGAACGAGCTAACCTGAAGGCAAGTGAGCGCAGCGAACGAGCTCCAACCGTAAAGGTGAGTGAGCGTAGCGAACGAACTTCAACCAGGACGTGTGAGCACAGCGAACGAGCTCCAACCTAAAGGTGAGTGAGCGTAGCGAACGAACTTCAACCAGGACGTGATTGAGCCATGCGAACGAGCTCACGTATGAAGTTAAACGGGGCAAAGCCCGCGGGTACAGCTAGTCTATCTATATATATATAATCGATCGTTATGAAATTTGGTGTGTAAATTCTGTAGGTATGCGAATCGGACGTAAACTATTTCCCGTTTCGAAATTCTTAAAAGGGCTCCGCCCCAGTGGCTCTGGAGTTTCCCATGTTAACCTTATGAGAAATGGAATTAATGAATCTTAACAGCTGTTTCAATTAAACAAGTTGGTTCTGTTCTATGATGTGCAATAGCATTAAAGTTACCAGGATTACAAACAGGGTGCAGCACTATTATTTTTTTAATTTATGACAACAGCTAATTTGCAACCAAAAGGTGAGAGAGTGTAGCGAACGAACTTCAACCTGGAGGCGAGTTAGCGTAGCGAACGAGCTAACTTGAAGGCAAGTGAGCGCAGCGAACGAGCTCCAACCTAAAGGTGAGTGAGCGTAGCGAACGAACTTCAACCAGGACGTGATTGAGCCATGCGAACGAGCTCACTTATGAAGTAAAACGGGGCAAAGCCCGCGGGTACAGCTAGTTAATTATATAGATAATGGCTGAAAGTTTTATTGCAATCTGTCGAGCGGTTTCAGAGTCCATAATGTTCAAATATATATATAATTATTAAATATATATATATATATATATACAAACTTCCTCTTTTATAAATATAGATTCTGTAAGACAACATTTTTACCAGAAAATTGTGGACGTCTGGTAAGTCGCAGAAAGGTGGGGGAGGTCTTAAATTAAAGGTCTTGACCCCAGGGACTCGGGAAAAATAGCAGAATTCCCATAAAGTTATCAGAAAACGAGATATAACGTAAAATATCTACCTTAAAAAAGCATGGGGACTGAAAAACGTCTGCAATCTAATTAGCTGATACTTATTTATTTGTAAAGTTTACATTTATTTCGAAAGTCAGTGTTGTTAAATAATAAAATGAAATGTATTCGTTTACTTTTTTGGTTTTCCGATTTAATAATGAGTGAAGTAACTATAGACAGGGTAGGGAAAGACCTGCAAGACGTGTAGGAGTATCCAGTAATCTTGTTTGTTTTCCGTTTTTATAATGAAAGTAACTAGACAGGGTAGGGGAAGACCTTCAAAACGTGGAAGAGTATCCAGGAATTAAACCAACACAAGAAATGCTGAAAGAGAACGTCATGCAAGGCCTAAATATGAAAGAAATCCACAAGCTGGTTTACAACCTGCCTTCAGAATAACACTGGGAAATGAGTTGAGTGTTGTTTGGGCTATTAATTAGCTGTGTCTAAGGAATGTCGGCCTTAGTCACTAACAAGACTACAAGATCGCGCCACTCATCCTACACTCATCTCCATTCATACTTGGCTTAAAATACCTACATTGTATGGTCGCCATTTCATAAGAAAGTAAAGTATAAAGCATAAAGTTTCTCACAATCTAGGTCCTCTTAACAGCCCTTACATGCATTGTGGCGCATTTCACTTTGCAGAGGAGGCCACAAATGGACATTTCGACGCATGTTGCCACAATGGACTCATTAACATGCCACAACCACAATACACATAGATCATAGATTACGAACTAAAAATTAATGGTTTTACATGATTCTAACTTCATAAAAAACATAAGGCAATACTACAGTGCAATGGCCTTTGCGCTGCTTTCCGCTACACAAAAAGAGATTCCGGGAAATGGGCCTTACTGTTTTAAAATTCAGGGACAAATTGACAAATTCATAGATATATTTCTGACTTACTACCGCGAAGTGGAGACTTGCCTTCATATGGACAATTGTGTCTAAATTAGGGGCTACGGCCCCTACAGGCCACTAGTGTTTATTAATTACTGGTGTCTAAATGCTACTACCGTGTCCGCGAGTTTATTGCTGTCGGGTGTACTTTGTTTATAAATTGTTAAACATTGTTTATTCTAAAAGTTATTTATGATAAGACATTGTATTTTTAAGACAGATTGTACTATTAATGTAGTTTCTGACTTAGCCAATGCATCTATGTAAATCTGGCCAAATAATAAATCAATTATTCATGACTTATGCATAGCGCAGTAAAATATGCCTACCGTGCTTAGGCTAAATATCCAAAAAACATACCTAATGCAAAAAAGAAAAGCTGCAAAAAATTCTCATTTCACCGAAACGGCACACGGAAGATTTCTCAGGTGCCGTTTGACGTCACTAACTGCTGACGTCACTTTGAGGGAACACCAATACCGCCACGATACGGATATGAGCCACCGGCCTCGGTGGTTTAGTGGTTAGCGTGGCGGGCTGATAATTCGGACGTACCGGGTTCGAATCCCGCCAGTAGCACTAACTTTTTGTCAACAATTTTTTTCATTTCAGCAAGTTTGGTTGGTTTGGTTAGGTTATGACAGTTTAATTTTATAATTTAAAAAAAAATATAAAATTGAATTTAAGGCATTTATGATTTTATTTTATGAACAAAACTATTTTTTAGATTAGTAAACCTTCATTCGATTTTTCCTTTATCAGCACTTTTGGTTAGTTTGGTTAGGTTATGACAGTTTAATTTAATAATAGAAAAATTATAAAATTGTCTGTTTCTTCAGACGCAGCAGTTAGTGACGTCAGCAGTTAGTGACGTCAAACGGCACCTGAGAAATCTTCCGTGTGCCCCACCGTCATTTCACTCACTTTACTTTCTTTCACTTCTCTTCTCTTGCTTCTCACTTCACTTCATAACTTCATCACCTCCTCAGCCAACCAAACCAAAACCAACCCACCCAGTCAGTCCAGTCAGTAGTACCCACCACTCACCAGGCCACCACACCACAGACTACAGACAGACCGACCACACCACTGAGCTATAATAATAATAAACCACCACCAACAACACCAAAAACCAACCAAGATTGCTTTAATTGCTTTTAGATAAAGCAATAAAAAAATGCATCTATGCTAAACCACACGACGAGCTTCGAGCTATAGAACAGGGAACAAGTGTAGAAGAATCAACTAATGCCCTGATGGCCAGTACTAAACATTAATTATTATTAAGTAAGTATTGGTTTGGAGTTTGGATTAGGCTAGGCCTACTGTTCAGGTAGAGCTGAGCTAACAGCTTATAATAGTCTACAAGTTAGTTGTATAGTTCAGCGAACTGGTGGACCTGAAATTGAACTTACGTTTTTCAATTATCAGGCCTGAAGTTTTAAAAGTAAAGTGGTCTTATCAATGTGCTAATCCAACAATTAATTGGATTATTGTAAGGAATAGGCTTTGGTAAATCTTCCCTTTCGTTACAAATGTTTAAATCTTATGAAATTAAGGTTGTTTGGTTACTGCACGCCATGTTGGCTAGCCTATGTTGTCTAAACCTTTTTTTGCTACAGTATTTAAGTTACTAGGTTAAAATTGATAACACTGAACTACCGGTAGCCTAAGTTTATCGCCTTAACTGGCATGGAATTAACTTAACAACTATTGATCCCATCTTAATAGAATGCTTGAACTTAAGCTAAGACAAGCTATGGAAGTAAGTAGGCCTAATATTGAGGTTAAACTGAACTTCACCTTGTGCTTGCCAATTTTTACAAGTTGATTTAGGCTAACTGTCTATTTAAATAAGTCAAGCCTCCTTATTTTAAATAGGCTAGACTAACTTAGGCCGGGTAGACTTCTGCATCTGTTGGCACAAACAACTGAATGAAAATATAGATTATTCGATTGTTATTAAATTTATGACACCTTACTCCAATCATGAGGGTTAGGTAACTTACAAGTTGACCTTATGATTTGGTATAGGCCTAAGTCTGTTCATAGTAGGCCTAGGCTAGCGCTAGCCTACCTGTAAGCTATGCATTAAGTCATTTGTTTAACCAGATTTACATCACTTAAAGTACTTAGGCCCAGGCTAACTTACTACTAAGTTACCGTAGCCTACATTACATAAAATATTTATAAAGTGCTTTAAATCCTAAATGTCACTAAATAACTTAAGCTATTTACATTTTGTAGAACCAACCTAAAGTTAAATACCTACCCCCGCCGCAGCAAACCTGCAGACTGAGTTAAGCGAATTTCCATTTGCCGATTGGATTTAGGCTAGGGCCACACTTGGCGACTTTGACGCGGCGACAAAGTCGTGGCGTCAATGAATAAAAGTGCGTAGCATTAAATTAAATGGAGGCGGCCACACTAAGCGACTCGCGACCAGCGACCACCGGCGACAGAAAAATAAACGCGACCGGGAGCGTTTTTCGGTCGTGGCGACAAATACGCTCCCCATGTTATCTTATGGCACCGGCCATACTAGGCGACAAGTTGCTAGCTCACGCACTCTTTGCTGCTCTATTTTCATATCTATATTATTTAGTTTTGGACTGGCATGGAAAATATGCTTTTAAAATACAAATATTTTCATCGACAAAATAAGTGTTGGCATATTTACATGTGTCCTCTAGCATATATGAGATTTTACTCGTCTGGTATAACAGGAAACTAAAACCTCGTGTATTTTTCAAATGTCGTGCGTTCAATGTCAGCCACATAAAAAAAATACTACAAATAGTTACAATATCAAAAACGCCATCCATAAACAATGATGTTTCAGGTAATTCACTCCATACCTGTGGTTTCTCATCCTTTTAGCGAATTTTCCAAATAGAGAATATATTATTACGGTTTGCATGGTAGGACCTAAGCCCGGGACCGACTTATTTTTCGTTTTGAGGTCCTCAGAGGCAAAAACTCCCTCCGTTAAAATTCATATATATAAGTACATATGTATCTATATACATATGCAGTGTATATATTTTATATTTATATAGGTCTATGTGCCCATTAGGGTGATAACGCAAAATTGATAAGATTTTAATGGTATTTGGCACAAATGTTAAAACCAACGTTAATTCAAACGGTTTCGCAAATTAGAATGATCAGACTATGAGAATGGGGGGTTTCGGGGCTTTAGTGGGGTATAACATTAGTTCTTTCTTATTTTTGACCCTAAAACATAAATTTCACAATTCCCTTTCAAAAATACCTTATAATGCCCGTTTTTATGGTGAATAAACTAATGTAGTTTGCTTGTTTATAGATATATTTTAATAACATTTTGCAATATTGTTAATTTCGTGCTAAGCTATCAAAATTTTAATTATCAAGCACACCTCATTAAGTTACCTTATCTGTACCAACAAACCTAAGCATAAATTTAAATTCATCTTATATAAATTGGGAATAAATCCGACAAGTTTAGGTGAATATTTTAGTGGAAATCTAGCCAAACAAATGTAAATTCAATTAGTCTGCAGGTTTTTTTTTTGCGGCGGGGGTATTTAGATATACAAGAGATAGCAACATCAAGCATTAAACAGTGATCTGACGATTTAGACGTCCACATTGGTTTTAGAAACACAATTTAACACTTCTATTTAGTAAAAATTGTATTCCTTTGTTGCAGGTAAATGGTTAAAAACTATTACGTGACCGAGTACGAAATATAAATAGGCACCGGTGCACGTACGAAAATACTTTAACTATATGATTCGGTTCGTAAGATTCGCTTGAATTGTATGATACTGCAAATAATAGTAAAAAACATCAATGTATTCTAAGATCATCCAAAAACATACATAAACAGTCATAGATCCTTATTTATTTCCATAATCAATGACACGATTTTAAAATTACAATACAACATCTCGAAACTCTATTTTTACTGGTATGGTAAAAAGTAAACTGAAAGGTTGAAATTGTCGCCTATTGTGGCCACCCCCAACTACTTTGTCGTCGCAACAAAGTCGCGCGAAAAAAAGTCGCCGCGTCAAAGTCGCCAAGTGTGGCCCTAGCCTTACACTAAAATGTTTCCTTAAAAATATCACATTTATTCCCTATTTATATAACATTATTTTAACAAGTACTTAGGTTTGCTGCAACAGGGAGGGTTAAAAGGTGTTTTTTTGTAAAATGTAATAGTGTAGTATGAAATGAATGCATTTTCAAATTTTGATCAAAATATGTTCTTAAACGAGCAAACTACAACAGTTTAAGTTAGGCCTACTTATTAATAACTTATATTGGAAATTAATAATGAAATGTATAATTAGCCTAACCCTCCCAGTGTTACTTGACGAAAATTCGACAAGCAGCACACTTTGTGTAGTGTTACTTGTCGATTTTTCGACACGCAGACATCGTTTACGGCGAAGGCTCTATGACTGACTGGATCGGATTGAACTGGATCGAGTTAGGTATCGTTCTTTCCGTAATATTCTAAGCTTTCTCCAGAGGTCTGTCTCTAAGCGCTATTCATTTTAGTTCCGAAAATATTGTAGCAGACAGCTGACGTGCGTGTATTTGTAAACAGCTAGGTTCCCCCGGACCGATGACTGATGTGTTTTATTACGTTTATCATTGTTTTAGTGTTAAAAATCAAAAGTAGTGATATACGTGGTGCATTATAAGAAGATTTAAGTGGTTTTGAAGTGCTGGTTGATGATCCTGAAGAAGTAGGTAGTGATATTGATGTAAATTATCAGCCAGATTCCTAGCTATGGTTAGGCTATGCATTCTTAGCTAAACGCTATGTACTGAAATCAGTTTTTTGCCCATAACTTATTTATTTGCAAATATACTTCCTTATATTATTATATATTTGTAATCCTCATAAAATTTAGAACAAAGTGGCTATTTTCAAATATTTATAGGCCTATAATTTATACAATTTCATTGAGCGCGAACTTATTTTTTTTTTTTTTAATTTTCAAAATTATATATTTTTTTTTTTAAAATGTTCCTTATGTTTTATATATAATATTGAAGCCCATGATTTTCCAAACAAAATGGTATATAGAACATTAGAATTAACATTGTTTTAAGCTTCTCAGATCCGTTTTAATAAAACCTTGCAAATGCGCCAAAAATAGGTGGACATTAAGGCCTAAACTATGGACACTTGGAGGGTTAAATTTACAAGTTCAACAAGGCCAATATATAATAATTTTAATCGGCGTGAAACTGGCAATAGAACAGCAATAACCCATTCCACTTCTCCTACCGCCCCTCCGACGAATATACGTCACAGTAAAACGTCACAACAATGATGGCGTCACAGCAGGATTCGTCATAGAGTAGACGACATAACCTCCAAATTATCAAGAGGCGGGATTTTTTTTTGCGAAACACGGCCAAGATGGCGTTTGGCGGTACACGCACAGCGTTGATTATGAAGGTTAAGTAATATATATGTATAAAACTGTACAATACGTTGAATGAAATTAAACTACTATTTCATTATTTAGAGAACAAAGAACAATATTAAACACGTTTGAGGATATTTTAAGTAGTAACCACCTCCAATTTTTTCCAAATGATAAAATTATTAGCTGACTACCATAAAAACCTATTGCTGGCGATTCCCCTTAAATTTTTCTTCAGTTTTTCTTTTGATACGCGTTAAACACATGATTATGAACAAAAAATTACCTCTTCTAGGTTAACCCACTCTTTAATAGTGTAGCTATGTATCCTGGAATGCACTTCGTGTGACCTCGGTTGCACGCCGGTGCTATTACAAAATGTATGTTCTAAATGTCTATTTACATTATTTATCTGGTATTGAACAATACTAGGCACTTTTAAGCTTATTAATGTAGAAATCACCTTGATATTAATACAAACTAATAAACTACCTAAAATTACTAACTAATTACCGTAAAAACCTATTGCTGGCATCTCCTCTTAAATGATTTTCTCGTTTTCCTTTTGATATGTGTTAAACACATTGTTATGAACATAATATGAGGTAGTATAGGTTAGCCCACTTTTTAGTAGTGTAGCTATGCAGCCTGGAATGGACCTCATAGTAGAATAATAAATTACCATAAATTTCTATTGCTGGCCTATCCCTTTGGCACGATTTCCTTTATTCTTTCAAAATATGTTTATTACATCATTACGAACTAGAAAACACGTCGCCTAGGTCCGTACACTCATTTATAGTTGAGATAGGTAACTTTGAATTAAACAGGTGTGACCTCGGTTCCATATGAACA